AATATAGAAAGTGTTTTGTACATATATGCCACGTAACGATTGCGATTCTCGTGGTTCTTTTTCCGTATCGTAACCGTAACGTATGTACATATACGATCATTAATTTTGATTCAGCCTAAACTCACATTTTCAAACTTTAATATTTACGTCGAAAATCTTGATTAAAATCAAAATCGATAGTTTCATCAACTTTACTGCGTCGTTATCATCGTTATCGTCGTTATCGTCGTTATCGTTGATACCGTGTAGTGATCTATACTCAATTTGTAGGTGTACCCTTCAGGTTATGACCCGGCTAACCTATGTACACGACCACGTTATGTCAGACCTATGCTCGTAAAACGCGACCTGATCTTTTTGATTGAAAGTCTGGTAACAGAGGCGATGTTAATCCATTGACATCGCGCGCTTACATAACTTCGTGCAGTCGATTCGACCGTTGGGACGAAATTTTTCTGCAAATATATTGAGGTAATATTATATTTATCCGTCCAATTCCACATTCGTAAGGTAAATCGGCGTTAATGTAATGAATAATAAACAAGTTCGCAATCATTTGTCGCGAACAGAAGACTGAGGAATACGGCACGTCAATAATGGATACAAATTGATGCCACCAACGCGCCAGCGTTTATTCTCTGAGAGCTATTTGTCATCGGTTGCGGCGACATTTCTGCTTTATTACGAGAAAATAATCAGAGCGTGTGGAATAAAGGCGTACTCTGAAGCACACGAGAATTTTTTATTAAAGGAAAAGTAATTTAATATTCATTGCAATTGAGTAATAATTTATCCATATCCTCTCACTTTATACGCTTTAATTTGCACGAGATATGCTTCAATTTTTTTTGCTTAAACATTAATGTTCTTCTTCTTCTTCTTCTGGCATTACAACTCAGGATGAGTTTCAGTGCTTTTTAACAATTTTCTTCCATTTAGCCCTTCGCGTAGGTGTTCGGCTTCTTTTTGTTAAATTCTTCGCAGCAATGGGTTTTTCCATTAGGATTGTTTAAACTTTAATGTATTATTTAATAAACTTTGTTTATTACCCATTATTGTTTATCGCAAATCGTTCATCGTGAGATACTCTAAAAGTCATTTTTACATGTTGCACTCGTGACCCACTTTCTCTCATTAATTTCAACGAGAAAGCTAGATGACAAATTTCTTTACTTAATTCCCTCTGTCAGGCAAACATAGTTGAACACGATCGTCGCAATCGCTTAAAAGCGATGGAGTTACGGATCAAGGTTAACAAAAAGCTGAATCAATCTTTAACTTAGCAAACTTGGGCAGAGTTGCGGTCACAAACTTCGTGGAGGCAATCAATTTAAATTCGGCCATACGAAATGTCACAACAAATGGATTATAGAAGAAAGTTAAGAATATATACGACGAAAAAGAATGTTATCTTCTAAAGTAAAAAAGTTTTCTTTACAAAAGCGACATGTACTAAATAGAAATATATTCAGGACATATAAAAAATAAAATATCTTTTAGGCATCCTTTATACACCTTTAAATGTTTGTTTGTTCAAGTGTAACGTGCGAAAGTTATTTTGTAAATTAAGTTAGATTTTGAATTGACATTAATTTAAAAAATGTATTTTATATTATATTTTTTGAAGTACGATAGACGACATGCATTAACTTTTTTTTTATTGTAAGATGATTTGTGTTTTAATTCGGAATTTCTGTGCATACTCCAAAATTTTTGCAAAACTTAGTATTAGTTTTACAAAAAATACTATGTAATATATCACAAAGTTTTATTTCTCTCTCCCTTTTCTTCTTCTTACTTTCAAATTATATTTGTTAATAAGGAATAAGACACGGCGTAGATTCTGCTTGAACACAAATTAAGCTAAGAGAGACAAATCATTAAACTTAATTCGACCAATTCCATCAGGGACAATTCGATAACGTTTCCGTGGCATGTAATAAGCACAAGTTCATTTGGAGATTAACTTCAATCCGACAAATCAATAAAGCGAATGAAAGGAAGAGGGAACAAGAGATAAACGAAGAGATAGAAAAAATAGTATGAAGAGAATGAAATTGGAATATATTCTCTATTGATTAACGCAACAGCTTAAGTGAGACAGCGTTGTTAGCCGACTGGAGGTCAATTAGAGTAATTATCAAAACAAAGCAAATATTATCGTTATTCCGTTGATTGACATTATATGCGTATAAGTGGACATAGACGAATCATACTAAATTCTCGAATGACGTGAGCAAATTTTCAGTCTTCGCAACAGGTTCTGTTATCTCGCAAATGTTCTTACTTGTTGCACCGTGCTCTTTACGACCGCAATTATAATTACCATTTTCTTATGCCTGCGTACGAGATTCAAGTTAATTTTAAAATTTTAGTTAATTTAGCGACCTAAATCTAATAAATAATATTCTTTTCCGAAACACTTAAGAATATAATTATAATTTATAAATGACACTTCTTCAAATTTTTGTGAAAAACTATAAAGCACTACAAAGAACTACAAAGTTGATTAAACTTATAGTTAGACATGTAACGATTTAATATCGACTTGCACTTTAAAATTTAATCATGAAGAACTAATATTGCTTTCTAATATCAGAGTTAACTTATAATTTTTTAAGCTAAACAAAAAAGAATTTCTAATATTCTATTTCTATGAATATCATCCAAGAATATATCTATCGAGAAACGCATTAACGTGCGAACAAATCGAGACGAATTGAACGAGGTATGAATGCGAATCGTTAGTAAAGCCCTGAATCAACAAATTTTCAGCACGAAGAAGCATAGAACTCTCGTATTCTTTTCGAAATTATGTTAGCCTACAGAAACCACGCGGATCAAAATGAATAAAAGATGAAGGTTGTCGGAAAGCTAGATAAAATCCCTCCCGAAAAAAATGCGAAAAACTATTTGGGGCAAAACATTCTAACTATGTATAAGTCGTTGTCTTTTACGATGACCGATTTCCATAAACTTTTGGGGTGGCGGAACGAAGAAGATTAACTGATAAAAACAATAGGTTTTTATATACGAGTTACGGACTAGAGTTAGTTTCAAAACTTTTCAGAGATTATGCTATCTTTACGTAACTCTTGCGTTTCGAAGCAGAAAGTAAGAAAAGTAAGATCTCTTAAATTTGTCTGTTAATACGAAGATCGCTGGATGTCTTACGTTATAGAGAAAAGATTGTTTTATAAAGCCTGATATTGAGACCCTCATTTTATAATTCACTCCCTGTTTACGTGGAAATCTTTTATTCAGGCACTTCTGCGTATTCTATAGCACGGAATTATTATAGAAGGCGCGCTCTCCGAAATAATAAAGTAATTCTCGGCCCGAAGAGCTTACGGGAGACGTAAATGTGAAGGGTAAATCGCACAAAAAAGTGTGTATTATGTAGATCGAGGGACAAGTATATTTACCTGCTGCAATCGATATACATTTTTATTTCGAAATGTCGGCAGAGTTTAGCAAACACGTGGCCTAACTTTTGAAAGTTTAATCAGATCAATCCGGCGAATTTCGTTTATCCTATCCATGTTCGTCATTCTATCCTATCGACTCGTATTTCACGCTGTCATTGATATATACCATTTGATGCAATATTTGTCGCGCTGTCAAAATGTCACGCGTCAACAAACACAACGTTATACCCAGTGACGGTGAACGACCAATATGCGAGGTCTTACCACATTAATACCTCATTGCTCAGTGAATTTACCAGAAATATTTGTACAGGCTTTAATCAGACACGGTCTCCACGATATCTTTCGCGCGACACGCGCATATTAAAAAACCAGATATCCAACCGAATGGCATATCGCAAAGAGTAACTTCACTTAATTCGTAAAGTAAGCCTTTTCATAAAGCATTTTATTTTAATTTTAAATGCCGGTTATAGAATTATTGAATTATTACATCGACTTATCGAATTTTCAACGGAAACAAACAAATAAAATGTTGAAAATTCATTTAGCTTATCACACGTTGTGTAGTACAATAATAATGCTACACGTTTGCTTGATATAGCTATACTTATATGACATAGCTTGTGCACTTATCTTTTACATGCAATATCATCATCAACTGCGACCTTAATGAAATCTTACAATTAGTTACATTCTCATTCAAAATGACAGAACATTACCGAAGATCTCTTGATCTTTTAGAAACGTCTTTTAAAATGTCCTTCAGACATTTTTAGACTTTTCTATTGTTTACTAATTACTTGGAATCTCTTTTAGTACTCGATCTTGAATTTTTTTTCTTTTATTTGACATAAAGATACCTAGTTTATATTTTGCATATTACGTGAATATAGATAAAGCATCCTTTACGCGGTATTGGAAAAGAATATATTAAACTGTAAACAAATTTCTGTAAACAACACTTTGCAACACTTTTTGCTTTAAATATTTTAAGCTATTATTAACAGTATACATATTTGCACATAATAAATTATGTAATTAATCATTTTCGTTTAAATATATTGTTAAGTTATCGTGTACGAAACACGAAACTAGCGAATAAAGATTAAGTCGCGAATATCGTGCGGGAAGTAAGTATACACAGAAAAAAAGTGTCAAATCGAAACTTACATACTCAAATTAACTATTCATTGTTTCGTATATATGCAACAATCTATAATCTTCTTATTAACTTTCTTTTCTTGGTTGAGCTATATAAAATGACTTCATTCAAGCAAGTTTTCTTCGTTTAACGTAACGTAATTTCATTTCGAGGTTTCCACGTTGAAACTAAAGATAAGATAAGATAATATTTCAAATCAAGAATATTCCTTTTTCCTGTTGACATTTTTAGCTGCAGTATATAATCGGATATTAATAAGCCGATTTCTCTCAATCAAAAAGTCGCACGAATATTTCTTGTCCACGCATGTTATTTCCAGAAGGACCAAGAGAAAACGTCAACTCTTTCTCGTGGCAGAGAAGATCATATGCATGCGCTTCGCGAGTGAAGTTATTTAAAAGTCTTACCTCCCGCGGTCGTCAGCTCCGAGCGATCCGGTAGACCCAGAGCCGGCTGATCGAGGATAATCCAGGAGGAGACCAGGACAACGCAGAGCAGTCGCGCGGCGGTGGTACTGCACCAGGGGTTGGTCCCTGACGTCGGGTACGCCGGCGACGGGCAGATCGTCGCGGCGACGCTCATCTCTACGACTGTTAGCCCCCCCGCGGGCCCACGCGGCACACCTGCGGCCTATGCACGGCACGCACGCATGTAACCCGTACGTCGCCTGCACGCCCACGCAGGTCAACCCTGCCTGGCCTACTTCCGGTATCACATCTCCAGCCGATCGCGGAGGCGCGCGCGATCGATGACGCGCATAGTCGCCGCCGCGGAACCCGACGCCGTAGCTCTCTTCCTCTTTGTCTCTCTTTTTCTCTATCTCTCTCCCTTCTGCCCGCGTGGATCTCGCCGCGTCTTTCGCGATCTAGCGGCCCTCGTCGTCGTCCTCGTCGTCGTCGTTCGAAGCGACACGCCGCCGGCGCGTGTCCAGACTCCCTCGCTTGATCGCGAAGGGTTGGCGCGCGCGATTTCCGAATCGTACAACGGAGGCGCAGTCCGGACGAAGGGCGAGATGGTGGGACCGACGATCGCGCGTTCGCGCCGTCGCGTCGTCTATACGTACGCCGTGCGATTGTGCCGCGTACCGTGACGGAAAGGCGCGGGCACCAAGCAACGACCGACCTGACTCACCCTCGACGAGGGTCGGCGTCGCGACGCCAGAGCGCCGGCGTTCTGCGCAATACGACCGAGCCACGTTTCCACCCCCTTGACCGTCGCAGCCGGTGTGGCGCGACGCGGCGCGGCATGGCTCAGAGCGCGGTGCGATGTGGTATGGTGTGGGGTCGGGGTGGCGTGGTGGCGTGGTAGCGATGTTGCTCCGCGGCATCCACCCCCTTGCGGCCACCCGTCGTCGTCGCGTAGACAGCGGCGGAGCGCAGTGCCTCTGCCTCTGAGTCATTCCTCAGGCAAAACCCGTAGCCGCCGCGCCGGCCGCCGTTACTTGGGCGACCAGAACGCAAGGCGACACGTCGTCTTCGTCGTCGTCGTCAATACGCCGCGTCGCGATGTGTTAGCAATGACGCAGCGTGGGACACGATCGTGCACTCCGCGTTGCACCCCACTTCTAAGGGATGCACGATCGAAAGGGTCACGACGGTATCGGAGATGGATGCGGCGCGGCGGTTTTGCCATCATACGTAAAGATGAATATGAATATCTCAATAGGATGTCAAGGTAGTCTCGAGACCCATAGATCTTCACTCTTTGACTCTTTGATATAACGGAGTCTTCATCAATCACTTTCTTAAGTAAGATGAAGCGGCACTATAACAGCTCGCGAGTCACAAGGATCTAAGAAAATCTTAATACACGTATTCAAAATTTAAATATTTTACATTTTCAAATTTTCAACTCGAGTTCGCTTAAATTAATTTGCTTAATAAATCAAATATGTTACATATATGTAATTAAAAAGTTGCAACAAATATTTTGGCAAACATTTTTTTGCAAATTAAAATTAATAAGAATAATAAATCATTATTAAAACAAGTATTTTTATTCTTGAATGCTTTCTAATTGTTTCTAGTCGCTGCCCAGATAGAAAAATTGTTTATTTGAAATGTTATTACATTTCTTAAATTAGCTTTGACATTTTCTCTACAATTAACAATTTATGTGACTTAGATGTGACTAAGAATATTTTCTCGGTATTTTATTTGTGTTACGAGCACCATTCGTAGGACTTCATGCAGTATAGGTAGATGACGCATACGAGTATTATTTCTATGAAAACTCTGGATCTAACGGCGCGATCATAATTTTACTCCTTGATCGATTGCCACGACATCAGCGAAACTTTGCCGTACACATTGCTTATCCTACAAACACACACGTGAAATGGCTGCCAATTAAGATTAATATTGTGGATAGCAGGAGAAAATTATGTGGTTAATACGAGACATGAATAAAATATACTATGCACATTAGCACAAATTTAAAAATATGTATAACGTTATTAAAATCAATAAATATATTACATAATACTACATAATATAAATATACAATATTATACGATATCGAAAATTTACAGCATGCAAACGAAACTTCCTGTTGACGCATTTGAAAGCTGCCTGCGTCCAAAACTGTATTGTAGTTGCCAAAAATTACATTTTATGTTGCAGGATTCAAATATATGAGAAGAATAATCTATATTTTCCAGGCGTTATAATTAGGTAATAATTATTAATTATTATTAAACATTACAGATTGCATATGTTGATGAATTATACTTCATGCAAAAAGACGATCATAAATTATAGAGATGTGCATATACGCATTGTCAAAAGATCTTTATAGTTCGCGTAGGTGGGATTTGATGGACAGGGGTTCTGGGACCACTCTAACTAGTCCATTAGGAGTCATGCACATGATCAATTTCAGGTGATAATTATCGACGGACAGACTGATGGTCACATGGGACAGGGACGTGCTATAATTATGTTCCGACTAATGTAATGCTGCGTCGCTAGGTCGCTTTTGATATTAATTGTACATGCGTTTACAACGTCATTCGAATATATCTATCGCAGTCTTTCCTCGAAACACTTATTACGTGAATTCTCTTATTGCATACACTCCGTTGTATATATTGACTTAGCTTATTGTATTTATTAAAGTATTTTAATATTAATTATAGATTTATTTCGTCTGAATTAACTATAATTAATGTTATGTATAAACAAAAATGTAATTTTTCTTTCAGTTTATTATCATTCAATTTTCATTCTTTTCATGGACATACATGTGATTAAAACATCGCTTTCTTTTTATCCGTCCATTTTTAACATCCGTTTAACATCTATAAGCCTAATAATAACTTCATTGATTATGTGATATACTTAACTCTTTCTTCGCCAAAAAAGCAGCGTATTTCTAGCATAACTAGCATCTTGTGTCCAATCTCCCTCAAAACATTAAGCTGGACTTGACAGATTTGACCGATAATTAATAGTTACTCGAATTATTGCATTATAATTACAATAGCGCATATAATTTATCACCCTGCAATTATTAATCATTAAAAGATAAGAGATAAAAAGGGCCGTGTAATGGTTGGACATTCATGTCAACGTCTCGATGTCTATCGAGAGAAATTTAACGACGATGCGAGATCAATTTCCTGAATCCCTTTGAGTAGAGCCAAGTGGCAAGAGTAAGAAAAAAGGAGTCTTAGGCTTGTCAAGTCTGTAATACCAGTGTGGCCCACTTTTACCCGACAAGCCAAGTCTTATGTAACGCGCACCTCGATCCTTCTGCTCACGTAAAAGTGTGCTGAGCTCCATTAACGGGATGAGGAAATGGCGGGATCCTCGCCGAGACGCTGCGAGATGTATATAGTAATCTACCGAAGTTTACTTACACGTTCCCCCAGCGTGATGTTCAATCTCTAGAAATAATTTGTGGGGCGGAAAATCGAATTTTACCATAATAACAATAAACACGTATATTCCCAATTTTAGATAAAATTATTTTTTAAATAAATAAATGTTTAAGATAGATGAGAGAATTTTATATTCTGTTATGACAAAGCGCACACACATTTCCAGAAGAAAATTTTAGAATTTTTAAATAAATTAGTTAAACATTACGCTTTTGACTAATTTTGCAGCCAACTGTAAAATTGTGTTGTATTGTAAAAGTGAAACGCGAAAGTTGTTAAAGTTTCATTATGAGCATTATGACCTACTCGAATAATCCGACATGCATTTAAACGGGTTTCTCCACAATTTAAATAATGAATAACAAAAGATTTTTTTATTGCAAAATTTTATATACAAACTACGAAGATATCATTTATCTCCTTTTTTATCGATACCAAATTATATACATGTTTTGCCAATCGACTTGAGCAATCTTCCTTAATGGCATTTCGAGGTAAAACGAGTTCTCCTAGAATGCTGCAGATATGATAATTCACATTCGGTCGACCGATCGATTATTACGCAAACGCTTCAGATAGGTCAAGAATCTCTTCCATTTGCGATTCTTCTCCATTTATTTTATTGAGAAACAAATAAACCGACTACAGGAAAAAAAACAGTTGATAAATAAATGTTACTGTAACTGTTCCTTAATGACTTCCTCTCTCTAGAAAAGAATTAATTAAAATCGAGATGCAATTAACTTGGAATACATGGAACAAACAACACCAATAATTTTTTATTATTTAAAACGCCCGGCGTTTTTGTGATGGTACAAAAATACAAGATTTATATAAAATATATATTGCGTAACGTGTCGCAGACATATCAAAATACACAACGAATGAACAAAATAAAATCTTTTTTTATAAAAATGGAATCTATCCTTTGGCGAAAGCACTTCGTCGACGAGTAAAGATGCAGACAAGTATATGCTGACGAATTATCGTGCAACCTCCGATACAAGATCGGACCAGAATGTTGCGTAGTCCTTTAGAACAGTTCCCCTGAAACAGCAAGACACATATTATTGTAATAAATTATTAAAATATCTTTAAACATAAGTATCTATTAAAACATAAGTATATAAATCGTACCTACTAAGTCACACTAATTTTCTTTCACAATTCATAAACCATTTTTATGTTCGCTCAAACGTAGCGAAATGGAACAGCCAAATCAAATTATTTTTGCATACATTTTAAAAAATGTAATATATTTTGACATGTTTAGTTGCATACATATATCATAAGATACTTAATCTCTTTCAGTTGTATAAATAACAATTTTTTTATAAATCTATCATTAGTTTAAAAGTACTTATCACATTGTTGTAATGTTCTATAAAAATAAAGCAATTTTGTTTTGTAATTGCATTCTAAAAAATTCATGAAAAATCCTTTAATTTAATTTCACCTTAAGATCCAAAAATATATATTTTTCAATCCTGAATTTCCTGTCTTCCTTGCTGAGAAAAAATCGGGGCTTAAAATTCATTTAAAAATTCCGGAAAAAAATTCTGGTTTACCTTTCGTTTTGATGATAATGCGAGATTTATATGAGAAATGTTTTATCTGCATAATGTGACTGTATATGTATATATATATGTTGAGGTAATTTTAATTTATAATAAACATTTTTTAAAATTTATTCTTGTACAAAGCATTCAAGGTAATGGAGAGACCGACCGCTCGCAGTCCGACTTTCCAATGTACAACCGTGCTGGGAATTCAACGGATTATTAACACGTCTCACGTATGCGTGCAATTACGAATGACCGAATAGCATAAAAGCAATTATTTCCAGTGGTCAACGTCGTACAATTAGATCCGCTGTGCCATTGCGAATTATTGCGCGTGCATTGGGTATACCTCATTTTATGGCTATTAAATTTGATTTAGCTGCGCCATGAAATATACGTTTACGCGAATAAACGTACTGAAAAAAAATTAAATATCCTCATTAACGATCAAAAGACTATTAAGATCGTCGGATGTTTCAAATTTTAAGAAGATACTTTAAGACTCTTTGGCCGGTATTCATAATCAGATCTTATTTCAAGACCGTCTTAAGTAATATCTTAAGATGCTAATACGGCTCTGTGATTGGTTAATGACATCTTAAGATTGTACTTAAGATGGTCTTAAATATAAGAACCGACTGAATACCGGCCTTTGTATTCATTCAAGGAACTAAGTATGCTATTCATCCCTCTATATATATATATATATATATATATATATATATATATATATATATAT